TCTCCCCAAAACCCCAAAACCCCTCTAAGCGGAATATTAATTACAAATGGAGAAATTAGATTAAATAATTTAGATCAAAATTGTTTTAATTAAATAACCAATTTATACAAAATAGGATTAGCTTTGAAATTTAAAATTGATCTATCTAATTATCATTTATAAGTAATCAAATAGCCTGGATATGATTTCTGATTGTCATAAATAACAAAATGTCCTTTGTTTCCATTATTAAAAGAATCAAAAAGTACTCCTTTCTTCCCTGGTATTGGTGCAGGCATTCTAGCACCTCTCCCACCTCCCTAGTTTGAAGATAAACCTGTAATTACAGTACACATAAACATCTACCTTTGTCTGTTATCAACAAGATAGGCGTATTACAAAGAATAATTCGAATTATCTGCAAAATATAGACCTATGCCATTGGCACCATCATTACTATATCTCATATCTAGACCATGCTCAAATGAGTATATGTTAACAGGATCAGTATGACTTGTTCCATGAAACAAATGTTTAACTAAGCTTAGCCCATCCATAAAGGGATGCTTCACTAGCATTTTTTGAAATTCACTATTTATTGTTTGATGTAAAAACTTATTATAAATCTTTTTTACTTCGGTTACAGATTCTAAATAACTCTTGTCTATACCTATTTCTGTGTTCATTATATCTATTGTATCTTTAATGTTGTCTAATCTTGGATCTCAAGCTAGCATTGTTTTATAGAATTTAAAGGCAACATACTTGAATTCAAGGCTATCTCTATCTAAGATTTCAGTACATGTAAAATCATTAATGTTTTAGAATTTTGGATCATTAGGATTTTCAGGGAACTTAAAAGTATCAAAAACATGCCAATTAAATATCTGTTTTTTCTAAGTAAATTCATAGGAATAAACATTTTTATTACCATAATCAACAGCAAATGGAAATTTATTTAGCTCACAACCAAATAATTGAGACTTTTTTTATAATTAAACCCATTTTGATTAGCTTTTCTTCAATTTCTAGCAGTCATCATAAATATCATCGACATTTTTTAGAAATTATTTATGCTTTTCCTGATCAATCTAATGAACTACTTCAATTTTATCATTTATATAGTAAGACCACTAGCGAGGACCTAATATTTCTATATCAACTACAGGCTATCTCTGGATTGTCTTAATTATTTGAATTAAGATTGGGACATCAAGTAAAAAGCCATTTTGCATATCGAAAATCTCCATCAATAACTAAGATTCTTCTGTATAAATTTAGAAGTGGTCGCTTTTTTATTTCTCTTCTTCATCATTCTAAAAATGAATCTGAATAGATAGCTCAATATTGAAGTCTATTTAATCTTTCATATATTATTTGTACTTCTAATGAATTAAGGCATATTTTTTACCTCCAAAACAAGCATAGTCTCAAGAATCTTTATTGTAAATAAATAAATCTGGCATTGCATAAATATCAAATGTTTCATCAACAGGGCCATTGATTTTTTTATTGCTATCATATCCCATTATTTCTTATAGATCAAAAGCATATATCTACTCAACTTTTAATTTTTTGATTTCGTCATAATTTTATTCTGAAATATCATGCGAATCTTCATTACTTGAATCATCATCACTTTATTAAGCAAGGTGTTGAGAATTTTTTAATAATTTTTCTTCCTCTTTCTATTGGTTTTGCTTATTTTTTAACGATTCATCTTTTTAAATGAGTTGAATACCTTAGTCTGTTTACGAATGCCAATCATACCATGCTATAAGCAAATCCAATCCATCAAATTTTTTTTGTAATAATGAAACTGAATCCTTTGGTGTTTTTCCCTCTGAGTGGCACTTTAACACTTCATCTCTAAAGTCATCAATGAAATTTTATTTGAATACATCTGCACCTTTAACTTCATACTTTTCTTAAATCATGTACTGCCAAATATCCTCAACTATGAAATCCTCAATTCCATCCATTTCCAGCAAATTATTAGTAAATATTATATTTATTTTCAATTTAAAATTAATCTATTTATTATAGTTTGTAACTTTTTTATCTTGGGGTTTTGGGGTTTTGGGG